TATATATATATATATATATATATATATATATATATATATATATATATATACATATTCTTTTTCACATTCTTTTCCATTCTGGTTTATCAGAGGATATTGAATATAGTTCCCTGTGCTATACAATAGGACCTTATTTTTTAATCCATTCTCTATATAATAGTTTGCCTCTGCTAATCCCAGCCTCCCATCCCATCCCTCCCCCGACCCCCTCCCCCTTGGCAGTCACCAGTCTGTTCTCTATGTCCGTGAGTCTGTTTCTGTTTCGTTGATAGGTTAATTTGTGTCCTATTTTAGATTCCACATATAAGTGATATCATCTGGTACTTGTCTTTCTCTTTCTGACTTACATCACTTAGTAGGATACTCTCTAGTTGCATCCATGTTGCTGCAAATGGCGTTATTTTGTTCTTTTTTACGGCTGAGTAGTGCAAAAGTGTTTTAAGTCAAACCTGTACATGACTTGCATAGATCCGGGAAGCTTTTGGTGTGTTTTTGCTAATTGGCACGTATTTTGGCAGTGGGGGCAATAGCGGTGGACAGGGCATCCCAGGGCACAACCTTCCCTTACAGATAAAAAGAGTAGTGATACTGAAGCCCTGTGAGAGGGGTGAGAAGATCATTATTGTTCCTACTGCTCTTGTTATTGTACCGTTGAGAAAACTGAGACTCAGTGTTGCTAAATGACTTGCCTTAAGTCAGGGAGCTAGAAAGGAGTGGAGTTAAGACTTAAAGTTGGGTATTTGGATTCAAAAACGCCAGTCACCGATTTGAGCATTTACTAAGAAATGAATTGATTCACTAGGTGTAAGTATTGTGTTATAAATGATGCAGCTTTAACTATGATTCAGCTGATGAACCATACAAACTATTATAATCCCTGCACTCAGCCAGTATCATGACTGGACATATATATTTTAAGGCTAAATTATATATGTGTATATAAAATTAGTTTCTTTATAGCTAATCCAGAGGAGCAAAATACACTTATTTTTCTGACATGGTGGGGAAACAAAGCCCCAAATGATATTTTGGCTTTGAGAAGTTGTCATAGAAGGGGAAGAAGAGCAAAACAGTGAACAATTATATATATATGTGTGTGTGTGTGTGTGTGTGTGTGTGTGTGTGTGTATGAATTTCAATTTTAAAAATTCGTATCAAGAAGAAAAAAGAAAATATAAAAAGTGAAATATTAGAGATTGGTTGAAATTAAGTGGAGCCAAAACAAAGCAAAGCACAAATTGGTCCTATTCTTATTTTTTGCTTAACATTTAAACAGATACTTGCCTTAATACCGATGCTAAAAAGAGAATGATCAGAAAGGACCCGAACGTGTCTCCTAACGTGAATGTGAAAGGCTCGCTCTCGAGAGAAAATGCAGACGTTGCCATTTACACATTTTAGTCCCAGCTCTGCAGTGTGGGCCTGGGTGAGTCTTCCCCACCATTCAAAGGCTTCGATTTTTCCACAACAAAATGAGAAGTCGAAATAAAGTCTCTCTTGAGTTCCCCAGAATTCCACATTCTAGGGCTCTATGGCTTTATAACTGAATGAGATAAATTTTATGAAGAAGTAGCAGAGATTGACAAAGAAAAAGGATCTATTGTTTCCAAACCACAAATAGCAAGACAGAATGAGAACCACCACCACAAATTACTGTCAGGCGCAGGGAATTATAAAACGTAGACAATCCAGTCAAGACTGGATGATAACCACTTAGATGTTGGAAACCTTTGTAAACTTTGGGCTCAATCCTTCTTCCCAGATTTTCTCATTTCCCTTCTTCAGGAGGCAAAGATGCTTAACAATTTCTATGTTCTCATGAATATTACAGATACATTCTTGGGCCTGTCATTTGAAAAGGAAATATAAATATTTAGATATTATACAGAAGTGCTTGAAGTGTGGAAGCATGGGAAAATTTTCAGGCTTGGGTTGTCATATTTGACTCATCTTATAGGAATAAAAAAGAAAAAAAAACTCTCCCAGGGTAGACAGTATTAAGTGAAAAGGGACATTTAGACAGTATTCTTTAGTGTATTTTTTTTACTGCCAATTTTGTCTTTTAGGATTGTTGAGAAAACAGGCAAATAGAGAAATCATAGAAGTATTTCAACTGTGTGGGGAAAAAAAGAATGCAGAGATGATTATTCTTCCATGTCCAGAACGTTTTATGAGATCTGGATTTCTCCTTTACATTCTGGGGCCAGGATCCAACTGGCCCCTTCCAAAGCCCTGAACTCTTGAAAGGTAACTATGTACTAATAAGGTCAGTATGAGGCGGGGGAGCAGAACTTCATCTTTATCTCAGACAATGATCTACAGATCACTGAATCCATAAGCTCTGCAATTTGATCGAAGTTTCTATGGCATTGACCCAGATATTCTGGTTCATAAAAGTGCTAAATCCTTTAATGAAACACAGAATTAAGTTAATATGATTTATGTCACCCATCACCCAGTGGGCTGATGCTTTGTAGTGATCTTGATTAAAGGAAGATTGTAAAATAGCTGCAACCCTCACTCATTTGCATTCAGTTCAAAGGAAAGGGCCCAAATGGAACTAAATAGGCATTTAAGCATAAGAAAAAGATTTTCTTCTCTTTTTATTAAGCATGAACACGAAACAACTTGCCAATAATTTGCACAACATTATTTTAGGACTAGAAAGCAAATTTGGCATGAAAAAAATTCCAAACTAATCATGCTAATTATGTTTCTTCTGAACAAGGAAATTTAATAGTCTCAGTCTCCGAATGTATCAGTCTCAAACTTGGTACTTTAAATTATTCCTGTCTGATGGTGTTGAGTGGTGCATATTTTAAACACATGTTTTGTTTTGTTTTTTCCCTCGAAGGAAGAAAAAGGGTAGAAACTATCCTTTTTGTGTGGTGTATTAGGATATATGTTTTATTATCCTCATTTTACAGGTAAAAAAGTGAAGCTGGGTGAGCCTTATCTTAATATTAGGAAGAAGCAAAATAGAAATTTAAATCCATACCCGTCTGTCTATAAAGCCCACCCCTTCCCACCTCACCATACTACCTTCTCTTCTCTTTATAACTTGTGCAAAGAATATTTCAATTGACTCATATACTCTGCAAATCCAGAAATGGTACTTTTGACAGAAAATGCTAATCTCACTAATACTCTCTCTATACTTCCTTAGACACGATTATGGGTTTGCTAATACCTCTCCCTATAAACCAGTGATATGTGTTTCCCTCAGGTTGAGCGAGGTACAATGTTCATGCAATTATGTAATTTCAGGTGTCCAGTGAGAGTAAGTATGCAGGGAATATATGAAAGTCACACCATATTACTTGCAAATTGCTGGTATGAACAGATGACTGGTTGGTGGGAACTGCTTACAAGAAGCCTATCGGTCTCCGTGCATTTATTTATTTATCCAAATTTTCAGATGTGTGAAAAACAGCTGATGTGAGACCACTGAGAAATTATAGGAGAAATGCTAATGATATCTGAGAGCAAAGATCACACAGGTTACTAGACCAAAAGGAGACACTATGGTGATAAAGAAGAGCAGAAAATGGAGAAGGAAGAACAATGATTGGGCACGAGAACAAATCATATAAATGCTCCAGTACGACCAGTCGACAAGCTGTAATCAAAATGGAACAGCAATCCATAAAGGCTTGCTATAAAGTTAGGCATTATTCTCATACTGTACATACCTCTCATTCCATCTGATACACGCATTTTTTCCTCTTCTGAAGAAAACAACAGCTTGCTAAAGAGAAATCGAAGTCTTTTGAGTCATTATCAACAAATTTCAGAGACAGACATTTGACACAATCTTCTTGCATCTTCCAAAACCTCTATTTACTTACAGACAGCTGTATATGTCCTTTCAACAGGAATTGGACTTTTTAAAGTATTTAAGATGATTTTGCTAATTGTGCTTCCAATGAACTAATAAAACATGAATATGCAAATGATAATATTACATGACAAATGAGTAAGCTCTGCTGTAATGGTGTATGTTGTGATGAATTCTGCTGGTCTTGTAATAAATTCATTTTCAAAGTACAGTCTTCCTAAGGGCAGTTCACAAACGGGATCTGGATTTTTCACAATGGTAACCCTGGGGCTGAGTTTAGTCTGGAACCTAGAAGATGCTCAGGGATCATCTGTTGAATGAATGAAAAAATGAGAGGAAAAGAGACAAAGCCTAACATTGTAGCTTATAATTTTAGAAGAAAAATGAGCAAGATATTCACAAATCAGCCTCGATATCAGTGTTTATTTAGCCTACATGAGCTTTGGACGGTGAAGCTACTGCCTGCTTTAAGAAAGGGGTAAATGCTGAGAAAGCAGCTTGGGAAGATCCATGGTGAGAGATGGATTCCCACATAGGAACGTGAACCATGGTACCTGGTGGAACTCCTATCTTGTATGCAGATGTTTGCATAACAACAGTTTGCAATGCCTTCAATGTCTGTTAAAATGACAAGTGGCTTTGTATACAGTTATATTTTGGCAATCGTCACTGAAAGAATGATTGTGAGGTATAAATCACTAATATTTATGGTTTACAAATGTAACTAAATTAAAGGTCTTTTACATTCCATGAAATCTAGGTCCAATAATGTAACAGCAGATGTTCTAAATAAAAGGCTTTTAGAAAGAGAATAATTGCTTTCAATAACTTAATATCAAACTCAAAAGGCTCCTGAACTTTTGATATGACATTAACGTTAGCCTGTCATTTTAATACGCACTGACAGAAAAATGCTAATGGATAAATATTGTGTTCTCTAAACATGATGTTAAAACGCAATGGCACATCCCAGAGTGTTTCAAGAAATAGGAAATGTGTGTTTGATTATTTGGTAAAAACCACAAAGCCAGGGGAGTTGAGGGGTTTCCCTGGGCTCTTTGCTCTGTCTCCTCAAGAGATTCTTAGTCTCTTCGCGGGTTCAGCAAGACTGCCTGGGGGCTGGATTCTTCCTCTGGAGAAAATTCTGAGGCAACTGAAGTTCAAGTGTTTTCCTGTGGTTCGAAGAAGTAGGAGGAGAATGTTTATCCCTTGTCCTCCAAGCTTTTGTGCCCAGCTGGGAACCATTGTGTTTTTCAATATTTCATAAGAGGACGGAAATGAGGTTTCTGTGAGAATCCAGTGGAGGGATGGTGGCCTAGGGACAGCAGGAGGGGTGAATGGATCAGAACAAGGGCAATTTAGAGTTCATGGTTTCTTATTTCGTTATATCGTGGAAAAAACACACAACATGATACTTACACTCTTAATAAATGTTTAACTGTCCAGTACATCATTGTTGACTACTGGTACCATGTTGTACAGAATCTCCAGAGATTTTTCATCTCACTTCACTGACACTTTATGCCCACTGATTAGGAAGTTCCCATTTCTCCCTCCTTCCAGGCCTCAGCAACCACCACTCTACTTTTCGATTCTATGAATTTCACCATCTTAGATGCCCCATATAAGCGGAATCACGCAATACGCGTTGTTCTGTCACTGGCTTATTTTACTCAGCGTAATGTCCTCGAAGTCCGTCCATGCTGTCACATATGGCAGAATTTCCTTCTTTTTTTTTAAAAGGCTGAAAAATATTCCATTGTACGGATAGGCCACATTTTCTTTGTCCATTCATCTATCGATGGGCATTTAGGTTGCTTCCACATCTTGGCTATGGTGACATAGGACCAAGAAGGGGCAGTGCTCAGGGCCCCATCCACTGGCACAGAAGGATGTATTGTATTGAGGTTTCGTGCTTCCAGAGTCTCCTCCTTGCTACACCAAGGATGGATGTTACCAGCTTCCGTTTCCACCATGTTTGTTCTAGCAAGTGGTCCAGATGGGATTGATGCAGACTCTCTGAGGAAAGTGACAAATGGTTCCGTGGGGAGGATGGAGTCTAAAGAAACAGTTTTTCCTCCCTTTCCTTGTACCTTGGGAGTGAGGGTTGAATGACTTTTCTGACTTGATTCACTGCCTCTGAGAAGCAGGTTAAAGGGTTCTCTGTCTAAATGTTTGTTGGATGTCCTTATAGCCATAGAAGGATGGTAAGGAAGGACCCAGAGCCACAGATACATTTTCATCTCATCGAAGTGCACATACATGACAAGGTGCCCACTTGCTCGCTAGTGGAGCTCCCGGTCTTGTCTGTCAAACTCTACAACAATCTCTGTGGCTGGCCCGTCAGTATTTATATGTGATATATAGACACCCTTTCTAATGATGCTCTTCAAGGAAAATCTCACACATCCGACCTGAAGCACTGGGAGAATGTTCTTTTCTTGCTCTGAAATGCAGAGAGCTCGCTCCTGTTCCAGTTTTCTAGCAGGACATACCCAGGCCAGTATCACCGGCCACAGTGGGAGACAAATTGCTGTGCTTTTGTAAACAGTCGACAGCCATTCTGCCTGGCAGTTATTAGAGGAAAACTCCGAGGCTCCCATCAGACAGTGATGGGCATGGCCAGAGCTGGGTGCTAAGAGTCAAAAGATCTGGTTTCAAATCCTAACTCCCCTACAAGGAAACAATGTCACTTTCTCTCTTTCTGCCTTGGTGTCCATATCAGTAGATGATGGTATTATTGTGCACCTAATAGATTTTCTAGGAAGGATATGACAACCTGAAAACTGTGTGTAAACTGAAAACATCTAGTCAAAACTTTTTATTACTATTTTACCCTCGTGACCATTAGCACTCTGATGGCTAAGGTAACACTGTATTGATCATGTGTTTAACTTTTTTCTCTATTTGGGGATGCTTTGGCATCTTGGGACCTTGTGGATCAGAGGAGGGACTGCCCTCCCTTGTTTATCTAATTCCTGGAGAGAGTAAGAGACTCACCTTTGTGTGTGTCTTTGATTTACAAACTGAGCAGTCATGAGTCCATAGCCCTATTTGCATCCTTCCATCAGACTCCCGCAGTCAGGATGTTACGGAAGTGGGTCCAGCTGCTCGCCACTCAAAAGCCAACAAAGAGACAAGGTTGGTGGAAAGGAAAGTTTGCTTTACTTTGGATGCTGGAAACCAGGGAGGAGGGGAGGGGGAGGGGGAGAGGGTGGATTCCTGGCCAAAGGCAGATTCCCCCGCAAAGACAACAAGTGGGTAAAAGTTTTTATAGGCAGAGGGAGGGGGCTACATGCAGAAACAGCACAGTCAGCTCTGTCATCTTGAAATTGGTCATGCAGTGGTCTGACCAGTGTCATCTTGATTGTTTTAAGTACACTTAGTCTTCAGTTCCAGGGTCCGTTCATTCCCATTCCTTTGAGGCCAGTTCTCAGAATTGTGGCAGCTTATGTCACGGCTACAGTCTGGTTATTATGTAGTTAACTTCTTCCACCCAGTAGGGGTTTCAGTATTTACAAGACAGCTCACAGGATATGGCTCAGAATATTATCTATAGCCCTTGAGAAGGAACTAAAGGTCCTTAACTATGCTTGATGACTAAACTATTATTATTTAGTCTTGTTGGACTGTTTTCCTTTGTTTTTGCATTTTCTCACTTCTCTGATTAAACTTATTCTTTGGCTGAAGTTTTTCCAGAGACAAAATGCAGGCTGAGGACATGGTGCAGGGAAAGGACCATCGGGTCCTGCTCTGTTTCAAGGACACTATTCCCCTGTCCTAAATCACCACAGGGCCAGGCACTGGATAAGTAGGAGCCATCCATACACCCCAGAGCTTGTTGAACTCATGAAATTACTCAATCCTAAAGCTGTTCAGCTTGCTTACTTTGCCTTGGTCATTCCTTCCTGTGAGATAAAGACTTTTGCCCATGCATCCCCCTTGCTCCCTCCTCCCTGCCTCCTGGCTGGTCCTGGTGCTTCCCCAGGTGACCCTACACGGCATGCTGGGTCCTTGGTTTCTAGGGGTCTGTGACTAGAAACTTCTTCCGTCATGACTGTCATTTCTTTTTCTTTTTTTAAAATTTATTTTTGGCTGCATTGAGTCTTCGTTGTTGTGCACGGGCTTTCTCTAGTTGCAGTGAGTGGGAGCTGCTCTTCGTTGCGGTGCTCGGGCTTCTCATTGCAGTGGCTTCTCTTGTTGTTGAACGTGGGCTCTAGGAGCACAGGCTTCAGTAGTTGTGCTGTGAGGGCTCAGCAGTTGTGGCACGTGGGCTTCAGTAGTTGTGGCTCGCGGGCTCTAGAGTGCAGGCTCAGTAGTTGTGGTGCACGGGTTTTGTTGCTTCGCGACACGTGGGATCTTCCCAGACCAGGGCTTGAACCCGTGTCCCCTCATTGCAGGCAGATTCTTAACCACTGTGCCACCAGGGAAGCCATGAATGTCATTTCTATGTCTGTATGTCTTAATATATCAGATTAAAACAAATCCCAGGTACATTTTAAAACAGGTGTCCACATGGATACATTTTGAAATGAACAAATCATGGGAACAGAAAGCACCATGGCGGTCAGTGTGGAAGCTGCTTCACCTTTCTAGGCAAATGTGTTGGAGCAGGTGTAGGTCAGTGCTTGCTCTCTACCACCCATAGGAATCACCTGGAAGATTTGAGGAACTGCCCCTTCTCAGAGCAGACATACCAGTACTTCTCGGTATGGTATTTTTTGGTTAAAGCCCCCTCCCATGAGTTTAAGGCTCAGCCAGGATTCAGAACTACTGATTTGGGTCACCTGTGAATTTTTCTCAAGCATTAAAATATCATATTAAATAAACCCTGAAGGATCATCTTGTGGGGAAAAATATTTGAGAAAGATGAACTAGATATAGAAAGCTCCAAACATTAGATCATACAGGCTAGTCCCTATGGGTGCAAAAAGAATACATTTACCATACTTTTGAAATGAAGTGAAGGGGGGCCCAAGGTTTTCCCCCATGTCTGAACCAATTAGAAAACTGCCACACCCATTAAGTTAGGATACTGACATGCGATAATATGGCCTTTTGGGTTTTCATTTTGGCCTCGAGCTGTATGATGGAAAGATCAGCTTCAGTGATATATAATTCAGTGTCTTGCATCCAGCCCCAGAGGCTGCTGAGATCGTTTATAGAATGATTTTACTCATGAGGGAAAAATTAATTGTATCTTCCTCAGCTGTTTGCTCAGTGCTACAGATTCATTGGCAAAAGCCAGAATTCCCCTTGGGAGACCCAATCTCAAGTTAATATATAGTAATGCTGTACATGGCTTTATTAATCCAGAGGCAGGTGGATCCAGAGGTGGACATCATCAGGCTGAGAGCTGGAGAGGTTCACTCTTGTCTGGCCGGTCCACGGGCCAGCTGTGCGATCTTGGCCACATCTTACTTCAGGTTCTGCCCCTAAATGTGGAACCGGAATAATCACATACGCCTCTTGGGCACAAATAATAAAAACAGATGAGATAATGCCTTTGGAGAGATTGGAGTTCCTTGGAGACCGTGACTGTAAAACAGACACATACCCAACACTTGTGCATTTTATCTCTCCATGTACATTATCAGTGTAATAAACAGAAAATTATAATCCTCCCGAATCCTAACTCTACTCCACCCATTATCTTTAAGAAAATACCCCGTTTCTCCCCCACGGAGCTGCTGGGAGAGTCATTCCTCATGTCCCCAACAGGTTGCAATGGAAAAAGGATTTTTTTTTCCTGTCACCAGTAGAACAGCTGGAACTCCCCGTGTTCTATGG